CGCCATCCGAGGGTGGCGACTGGCGCTCAACCCGCCACCGGGACCGTTCCCCCTCCTCCTGGCGTGGCCGCGGCCGGGATCGGGACCGCCCGTCCCCCCGCCGCTCCCGTTCACCGCCCCGGTCTGGCCGGTCGGAGGCCTCCCCCCTCGGCGCTACGACCCTCCTCGCCACCAAGCCCAGTTTCCTCCGGTCGGCCCCAACAACGGCGGCAACCGCAACGGGCGCGGCGCTTTCGCTAAGAAGAAGAAGAAGCGCGGAGCGCAATCTCAGCTCAGGGGTCCGGCCTCCTCGGTCACTCACCCGCCTGTTGCGGCTGCTCCTCCGTCTGCTGTGTCGGCGGCCACCTGCTTCAACTGCGGGGTGGCCGGACACTGCCAGGTCGAGTGTACCCAGCCTTTGGCCTGCTCCCGCTGCTTGCGGACTGATCATCCTGCCGCGCTGTGCCCCGACCACCAGCCCATTGGAGCCCTGGGGTTGTTCGGTTACGCACTTGACGATCTGGGCTTCTTCCAGATGGACCTCCCCGAGACCCGGGCCGCTCCGCCCATGTCCGCGCTCATCTCTGTCTTGGATGGCAAGACGGCGTCCCCGACCATCATCTCCGACGAGCTTCGCCACCTGTTCAACCCGGACTGGGATTGGGAGGTCACCCCAATCTCAGACCGGGAATTCACGGTGATCTTCCCCGACCCCGTGAGCCTTCGGTATGGCACTCACAGCGCCAGACTCACGCTCACCCTCAACCAGCTCTCAGTTCGCATCTCGGTCCCCTTGGTGGACCCTCTCGCCGTGGCCACCCTGTCCACGGTTTGGGTGCAAATTCGTGGGCTCCCGGCTCCTGCCCGCGACGAGGGTGTTCTCCGGGGCTTGTCCCGCCTGTTGGGCAAGTTTGTGGTAGTGGACGGTGCGTCTCTGCCCAAGGGCCCCGCGGTGCGGTTACAGGTCAAATCCCCCGATCCCTCCAAGCTCAAGACGATGATTCGCATGTTCTTCAACGATGTCGGATACGACCTGCACGTTTCCGTTGAGGGTGGGACTCCCATTGATCCCCTCAACCCGGAGGCGGGAGGCGATGCCGCTCCTAGATCTGGTGGGGGTGCTACCGCTCCGGGCTCCCCTCGGGCTCCCCATCACCGCTCCCCCCCGCGCTGAGGCCTCTGGCGACGTCTCGTCCGATTCGGAGGATGATAGGCCCCCTGCTGGCTCCTCCCACCCCTCGACCACTCACAGCGTGGGTCTCGGCACTTCCAATGTCGACCCTGCAGACGACTGTGAGGACATCGCGGCGATCGCGGCCATGCTCGACGAGGCCGCCACCCTCCTTCCTGGCGCTACTCTTCCTCCACCCTTCCTGCCTCCGCTATCCGTCTCGGAGGAGGAGGAGAGCGAGGCCAGCCGGGGCAGCATGGAGGTTCGTCCTCCATCCTCCCCGAGGCTGGTGTCCTCGATGCCCGGCGGGAGGACTTCCTGGAGCCGTCACCCCCTCAGTTTCCGGTGGCTCCTCCCCTTCCCCCGGCGGCCCGGCTTCCCAGATCTCGGGGCCGCCCTCGCTCGGCCTCTACCCCGGTTTCCTCTGCCCGGAAGAGTGCCAGGCTTGGGGCGGCGTTGGGTCTTCCTGGGGCGTCCCCGACCACGGTGGAGAAGGCTTCACGACGTGCTGCTATCCGCAACCTTGATCCAGGTCCGTCTGCCTCCCAAGCCCCCTGCTCTGATTCTAATGATTTCTGTGATGCATCCTTCTCCGCTCTTGCCGGGGTCCCTCTTGGGCACCTTGCCAAGTTAGCGGCTGATTCGACCATTGTGTTCCGTGGCGAGAAGGGTCCGGCCCTTGAGCAGCTTGCGTCCCTCCAGGCTAAAGAAATCCTGGAGGGCCACCTCGCAGCCACTAGGGCCCATGAGGCAGCAGCAACCGCGGAGGCCCCCACCGCTCCACCTCGCCGTCCACGTGGCCGTGCCCCCCTGGGGCCAATCTTGGTGAGGTTCGTGGCCGTACTCGATCCTGCACTGCTCAACTCCACCGGGCTCTTAGCGCTGCTTCCACTGTTGGGTCCAGGGAGGACCCATTAGGCGAGTGATCATGCGTGCTCTTTTTTGGAACCTGCGGGGCTTCGGTCACGATGGCCGCCGCAGGCAGCTCATAGAGTATATGCGTGAGGAAGCCATTGATGTGGTGGCGATTCAAGAAACAATGCGCACTGACTTCTCTCTAGTGGAACTTGAGCGCCTTAGTAGACATCTCTTCGCCTGGCACTGGTTGCCATCTAGTGGGGTGACCGGGCACTCCGGTGGCATCCTTTTAGGTGTGAAGGATGCCACCTTTGAGGTGGGCTCCATGGACCGTGGATCCCACTTTGTTAGTATGGAGGTCTGGGAACGTGACGTAAACTTCAAATGGGAGATCATAGTGGTCTATGGTCTGGCCGATCACAGTCGCTCCGCCGCCTTCTTGGCAGAGCTCCATGCCAAGATCTCCTCTGCGACCCTCCCGGTTGTGGTTGGAGGCGACTTCAACCTCCTTCGATCCGCGGAGGAGAAGAATAATGCTCGGGTGGATCTAGCCGAGATGCGACGTTTCAATGATTGGGTCGCGGATTTGGGTCTCCGTGAGTTAGACAGGGTCGGGGCGTGTTTTACCTGGACTAACCGACAGGTCTCCCCGACCCTTAGCGTGCTTGACCGGGTGTTTATCTCCCCGGACTGGGAACTTCGGTTCCCTTTGGCATCCCTTCAGGCCATTACCCGTATTGGTTCTGACCACGTTCCCCTCCTCCTAGCTTCTATGAATGAACGGCCGCGCCCTCCTCCGCGGTTCCGCTTCGAGAACTTCTGGCTTCGGCAACCTAACTTTATGGATGCGGTCCAAGAGCACTGGGTCTCGGCTCGCGCTGAGCCCCATAGACAGATGTCTATTCTTGATGAATGGCATCACTTATCCAAATGATACCGACAGTTCATGAAGGGATGGGGGGCGAACATCGGGAGAGATCTTCGGGTGCAGAAGGCGTCTCTCCTGGAGGAGATCCGGACCCTTGACCTTCGCGTTGACATCACCGGGATCTCCGCGGAGGAATGGATGCATAGATATAACTTGGAGGACTCCCTTATGGAGATATACTCCAAGGAGGAGGAGTTCTAGCGCCAACGCGGCTCCATTAATTGGGTACTATTTGGGGATGCCAACACTGCCTACTTTCAGGCCATCGCCAATGGCCGGAGGCGACGTTGCTCCATCCCTCTCCTCTGGGAGGGTGGACAATTGTTTCAAGACCCTCAGGCTATTCGCCTGCTAGTTGACGACTTTTACAAGTCTCTATTTCAGGGTCGGCAGCGGAATGGTGTCGCCCTAGATGACCATTTCTGGTCACGTGACCAACAGATTTCCCCCGCCGAAAATGCAATCCTGCTAGCCCCCTTCGATGCTGCGGAAGTGGAGACCCTTGTTAAAGCTATGAACCCGACGTCGGCCCCTGGCCCCGATGGCCTGCCGGTTCGCTTTTTCCAGGCCTTCTGGCCGATGGTCAAGGATATCATCCTCGACCTGTTTAGCGAGCTCTCTAAGGGTACCTTAGATATGTCCCGGCTTAACTACGGGATTATCTCCTTGATCCCCAAGGTACCAGGAGCGGCGGACATTAGACAATTCCGCCCCATCACAGTCCTAAATGTGATCTTTCGGATCCTCGCTAAAGGGTACGCCTCTAGGGTGGCCCTTGTCGCTCCCCGGATTCATCATCCGAACCAGTCAGCCTTCACGAAAGGGAGATTTATCTTAGATGGGATTCTTGTTCTTCATGAGATTATCCATGAGGTTAAGAGCAAACACCTTCGTGCGGTCTTCTTCAAGATCGATTTCCATAAAGCCTATGATACGGTGCACTGGTCCTTCCTTCGGGAAGTGTTGCTGAAGCGTGGCTTTGACCCCCACTGGGTAGCACGGGTAATGCAATTAGTTACGAGTGGCCGGACAGCGGTTAACATCAATGGGGAGGTTGGCCCATACTTCATGACTGGCCAAGGGGTACGGCAGGGCGACCCGATCTCCCCATTCCTTTTCAACCTTGTGGTTGATGCGCTCGCCTCGATTCTGGATTTGGCCAAGCATGCGGGTCACATTAGGGGGATTTGCCCTCATCTGGTGACACCTGGGGGTCTAACCCATCTCCAGTACGCGGACGACACCATTATGATGGTCGAGGGATCTGATGAGGATATCCAGAACCTTAAATTCCTCCTCCTCTGCTTCCAGGAGATGTCGGGCCTCAAAATAAACTTTGCCAAGAGCGAGGTAATGGTCATGGGATATTCCCAAAGGGAGGCCCAGCGGATTGCTAATCGTCTGAATTGCCGCTTGGGCTCCTTCCCGACGACTTATCTTGGCGTGCCCCTTAGCGATGCACGACTCCTGGAAAAGGATTTCCGCCCAATAGTCGCCAAGCTCCAACCTAGAATGGAGCCTTGGCAAGGGAGATGGCTTTCTAAAGCCGCTCGAGTGATTCTGATGAACTCCTCCCTTATTAGCCTACTGATGTATATAATGGGATTCTATAGCCTTCATGAATCCCTTCATCAGGAAATTACCAAACTGCTTTCCCGTTTCTTTTGGGCGGGAGAGAACAATAAGCAGAAGTACCATATGGTCAAATGGTCTGAGATCTGCAAACCTAAGGACCAGGGAGGCTTGGGAGTCATCTCCTCCAAGCGTATGAACATTGCCCTCCTGTCCAAATGGCTTTGGCGGATCCAGACGGAGGAGGGTGGCCTGTGGCTTCAGATTATTCGTAGGAAGTACCTTCGTGGGCAACCACTCGCGTTTGCCTCTAGGGCTGGAGGATCCCAATTCTGGCAATCGGTGATATCTTTGCTTCCGGTCCTACGCATTGGGACCTCCATCCAGATAGGCTCTGGATCTGCCACCCTTTTTTGGTTGGACCGATGGGCGGGACCCCGCCCCTTTGCAGAGCGTTTTTATGCGTTATTTTCTATCTGTGTTCGCCCACAGATCTCTGTGGCTGCGGCATTAGAGAACCTAAGTGCGATTGCCTTTCGTCGCACCTTCGGGGCGATCGAACTTGCGCAATGGGACGAGTTACTGGAATGCATTGCCCTTCATCCTCCTTTTCTGGAACCGGATTCGCTATCCTGGTACCTCGAGCCAAGCGGTAGATTTTCGACTAGATCCCTGTACCAGGCGATTGTGCCTACGCCTGGTCCAGTGGAGCTCACGGTGCTCTGGGAGATCAAACTCCCCCTAAAGATCCGTATATTCTTATGGCAATGGGTTAGAGGACGCCTCCCCTCGGGCACTGAGGTCCGTAAGCGTAATGGACCCGGAGACGGTCTTTGCCCCATTTGTCTGGTTCCGGAAGACTGCAACCACATCTTCTTCCGGTGCCCGGCGGTGCAGTTTTTATGGAGCTGCTTTCGGGAGGTAGTTGGAGGCACATGGTGCCATGACAACCTACCGGATTTGTTCGGGGAGGCCCTCCGGCTTCCCGGGTCCAGGCGCGCCCCTATTTGGGTCGCGCTAGGCACCCTTGCATGGTCCCTTTGGTGTACCCGCAATAAATTAGTCGTCGAACGAGTGATTCCGTCCCGTGTGACTGATGTGATCTACAAAATGTGTGGCCTCCTGCAGCTTTGGAGACCGCTTAGTAAGCGGAGCGATCGAGCCATCATCGACAACATCATGGCGGGTCTTCGTGCCTCGGCGGCGTCCTTTGCTCCTCCTCCGCCACCTCCACCGCCCCCTCCTGAGCCAGATTAGCGCCTCCGAGTACTCTTTTGGGGTTTGTCTTGCTGTGCCCCCAGCATGATTCTATGACTTATTGTACTGTAACTTGATGTTGGATGCTTGATGTTGGATGCGTGGTGGTTGCTTTATAATATAAAGCGGGGGAAACCCTTTTTCGTTAGAAGAAGCTGCCAAACAGAATAGGCGATCTTCTTCTTCCTTTTGTTAGCCGAAGCGAGGCAATCAGGTGCAACTGTTGAACCTGCTAAAGGGAAGAACATGCAAGAGCCGACCGGAAAAACAGGATTATCATAACCATAAGATAATTGTGCGATCAGCAAATCGAATCGCACGTCTGGCATGCTTGTATATATGGAATGTGACAATTAATGCATATCTCGTACGTACTTAATTAGACCTATACCCTCTATATATACTGAGGCGAGAGGGGGAGTCACAGCCATTGCTACAGCCTACAGACTGCGTCTATCTCATAATCTCCCACACCGTTCGTCGAAAATATGAAGGGGGGCAGCATGGTGTACATGACTGTTTTGTTCATCGGGTGTCTTCTTATGGTTGGACAATGTAAGTACCGTTTATATATGTATATGTATGTATATATATTTGTGTATCGTGCACTGACATCCATGCATAAATATTATCAATGTAATAGGTCGTCGCCCTGAGCCTGAGAGCATCTACCAAGATGGCCGTGCCAACACAACTATGGCGGTCTCGTCATTAGATGACAGCAAAATTACCGTGAAATTTTGTCTTCCTAGAAATTGTACATCTAAAGGTGAATTCTGGGGCTGGGATCCAGAGTGCTACTGCTGCCTCACCAAGCCGGGTGTACCGTGTTTTCATACCGCAGAGGAGTGTCAGAAGAAATGCCCACCATTGAAATAAGGGTGTGGAATATGAGAATATATATAAAGCAGCCTGTTAGAATAAAATAACGTGTGGATATTGATGCACGTAGTACCTTTTCACGAGTGTATAATAACTATGCTAATAAAAACATGAAATGGACTCAGTAGCTCCATTTCACTTCCAGTGTCCCACGCGCGTACTTGGACGTACACTGCTGCTTCAACCGCGTGCATGCATGCATGCATTGGTACGACGTGAGCATGCCAGCATGGGACAAATCCTCCTCATGGACAAATCCTCAGGCGACATTCGTACGACGTGAGGTACCCCGCGTCTTCTCGCGCAGGCGACTCGGGGGTGATTAGGTTTTCCCCCGAGCACCGCCACCCTCGTCTGCCTCCCCTCGCCGCCGGCGCCGGCGGCCTCCGGCCGGCCCGCGACAGCGACGGGACCCCTTCCACCTCCTCCTCCGTCCATCCTCGTGTTGGTCCCCCTTCCTGCTCGCCCGCCTCGTCCTCGGCAACGCGAGGCTGTGTGGAGATCGCCGCCTCGTCCTGGTGGTCTCCCCGCGGGCTGGGGCCGTGCCTCCTGCCGCCGGACGGCCTGGGGAGCAGGCCTGGCCGTTGCTGGCTGCTTCCCCGCCCGATGGGCTTCTTCCTCTGCTTAGAGCGGCCAGATCTGGATCATGGTGTTGGGTGCTTGAAGGGGGTCGGTCTGGGATGGGGCCTCAGAGTGGTGCTTGTTGCGGTGGCTGGAGCGGCCGGCTTCGCGCGAGCTGCTCGTCTCTTCGGAGATGGGTGAGCGTGGCTCTTTGGATCTGGGGCGGCGGCCCTTCCGGCGAGACTCCATTGGCTTGACCGGTGCTCGTTGGTGCTGGCCGTTTTTCCTCGGCCGCCGGGGCGGCGAGGCGACGGCTGGTGGCGGCTGTGGTGCGGGCGTCTCGGCGGCGCCGGATCCAGATCTGAAGGCCTCCGTCTACTTCAATCAGGGCTGCCTCCGATGGTCCTGCTTTGGGCGGCCTTTGTCGCCGGAGTTGTACCTGTTTGGCGGCTGGAGGTGGGAGGTGGCTCCGGAGAAACCCGAGGCCAACAGTGCTGGTAACGATGGCGGCGACGCCCGAGGGCGTCGTACCCTTCTTGTAGGCCCGTCCAGGTTGCCTCCTTCCCCTTTTCCTTCCACCCAGCTCGTATGCCGGGCGAAAGCCCAAATCCTTGCCGGATCGAGCGACAGCGGCGCTCCAGGTGTCGTCACCTTCTTGGGGGTGTTGTTCGTGGTGAGTTTTGGGTGGATGTGATGCTTTGGTTGCTTGGCGGCGGATTGGTCTTCAGCAGCCCTGCCGGTCTCGGCGGAGCGGTGCTTCATCCTACTCATTGATGGCGGCGTATCTCGGCGGCATGGCACAGTGGAAATTCGGCGTCCGATGTGTGGCAATGGACTCGCGCAGGAGGACGAAGCTGTCTGGTGTCGTGGTGACGTCGATGGCTGAGTGGCCAGACAAGGTAGAAGCCTCAATTTGATCTGAAGACGGACCTGTGGAAGATGGCGGCGACGACACACGAGTGTGTCTGGCCGGATTGTGCCCCAGACCCGGTATGTGGCTCGGCTGGAGCTTCCGAATGTGTTTTGGCTTCCGGCTTTTGATGTTAGGCTTAGGTGAGTGGTCTGGGTAGTGGCCTATCTAGCACCCCTTCATCATTTTGGATAAGAGTAGCGACATATGTTGCCATGATGGTGGATTCAGGCACATTGTTGTAATACTTTGTAAGGTCCTTGAGAATAATCAATAAAATGGCCGTATGCATCTCCCAGATGCAAAGTCCGAGGGTCATCCTCCTTTTTTAGTACGACGTGAGCATGTAGTAACAAGATTATATTATTGTTCAAATCATAAGGGTACACTCGTTTTGACACAGGTCTCAGGGACAAATCCCATCCATATGGTCGTACGCTGAGAGGTGCGCCAACCATTTGGCCAAAATCACTGTCATGATCTGCGAAAGAAACAATATCACACAGTAAATCGTTGGTGAATTTTTTCACCCGGAAGACTCTTTTGTTAGTGCCCAATAATTAAGCGCCACACTACACTGTACATCGCTTGACTGACATTCCGGACTGCCTGAAAATTGCTAAGTCAATGTGCAACGTCTAGCTCTTAGGCGTTACACACTGATTTAGCATTTTTAAGCAACCCAGGGTGCGACGCTGGCCAGTCATGTACCCGCCTGTCAGTTTGACCAAGTCAACAGTCAACCCAGTCAGTGTGTCACATTTGACAACCTAGTTGACTCGGCAGTAGTCAACTGCCCTTGGCCCCACCTGTCATCCACTGTGGCTAGCCCATGGTGGGTGTAAAAGGTATTTTACTGTTCTAGATAATTCAAATTTAAATAATTCCAGTAATTTCAGAATATTGTTAAAATTTTGTAAAATCATATAAAATCAATCGCAGCTCGGATGAAAATGTTTTATATGTGAAAAATGATCAGAAAAATGAGACAAATCTGTTTGGGCCCTCCATGTACCTGTCCCATACCTACAACACTGCAAACGTGAAACCTTCCTCTCCGGTTCGTCTGTCCGATAAATGCCTAAAGCCGAGAAAATATCATGAGAAATTTTCCCGCTCCGTTTGTAACGCATAGCACTGCATTACGTCACCCCTAGCATAGCATATCACCATGTCATGCTTTGTGCTGCATCTGTGTGCTTTATATTTACTGTTTCTTCACCCTCTTATTCTTCGGTAGACCCCGAGACCGACGCTGATGCCATCGAGTACAACCATGCTGCAGACGTCCAGCCACTTGCCGCAGAGCTTCAAGGCAAGAAAAACCCCCTTGATCATTCCTATATTGCCCTTTTTCTCTCTATCGTGCTTGCATTAGATTTTGCTACTGTATTTGATAGCTCATATTCTGATGCATAGCCTGATTTTATATCCTGCTGTTGAAGGAAATATGCCCTAGAGGCAATAATAAAGTTGTTATTTTATATTTCCTTATTCATGACAAAGGTTTATTATTCATGCTAGAATTGTATTGATGGAAAACTTAAATACATGTGTGAATACATAAACAAATACCGTGTCCCTAGTAAGCCTCTACTAGACTAGCTCGTTGATCAAAGATGGTTAGGGTTTCCTAACCATAGACATGTGTAGTCATTTAATAACGGGATCACATCATTAGGAGAATGATGTGATGGACAAGACCCATCCGTTAGCTTAGCATATTGATCGTTCAGTTTATTGCTATTGCTCTCTTCATGTCAAATATATATTCCTTCGACTATGAGATTATGCAACTCCCGGATATCGGAGGAATGCCTTGTGTGCTATCAGACGTCACAACGTAACTGGGTGATCATAAAGATGCTCTACAGGTATCTCCGAAGGTGTTTGTTGAGTTGGCATAGATCGAGATTGGGATTTGTCACTCCGAGTATCGGAGAGGTATCTTTGAGCCCTCTCGATAATACACATCATAAGCTTGCAAATAAATGACTAAGGAGTTAGTCGCGAGGTGATGTATTACGGAACGAGTAAAGAGACTTGCCAGTAAAGAGATTGAACAAGGTATAGAGACTTGTCGTTAAATATATATCAACAAGGATCATCCCCACTGCCGAAGTGCCATCCTCCTCCAGAAAGGAACCATCTACGGACAAGATCAACATACAATCTGATGAGTTTTGATTAGAAAAAAGGAGTTTCTTTCTTTCTAACTAACCTCCCCCCCCCCCCACCCAATCTCCAATCAAAACTCACCAATTTGTAAATTCCGTGTAACTCTATGTATCTCTAGTATTACTCCATCAGCTCACCTCGCTCCTCTCGTCGACCATCCGCTATATACATGCTTGCATAGTACTTTCTGCCTCCTCTCCTTCCTCCTCTCACCCGAGTACGAGTTCTCTCCCACCCTCCATCCACCACCGATTGCTGAAAAAAGATCAGCCCTTCTCCTCTGCACCCATGGTCTCTATCAGTGGCGGAGCTTCATGAGGCCAAAGGGGGCCATTGTCCCCTACTCCAGAAAAACTACCCCTAATTATTAGGTTTGAATATCAATTATTTCTTAGAGTTCATGTATAATTTATCTTCTTCGTCCCCTCAACTACGATTAGCCCTCCTAAGAATCTTCATCAACCTCGACATTCATCGCCGGCAATGCCAGTGTCGAGTATCTTAGCACGGCGTGTTGGAGCCCTGCCTTCGGGCTTGTGCATACACTCTCGGAGCGAGCAGCCGATACTTCTCCTCTGCCAAGGAGCCACCGGAGCTCCCCCGACGACAAGGAGGAGGGCAGCGCGGTGGTGCACCTCCCCATTCGCTGCAGCCAGCACTGCGATGGGCCGATTGAGTGACGTGGGCATCGAGCGCAGTATCAACGCGACGGGCGCAGCGCTCCTCGCCGAGCAGACTCGGCGAGAGGATGGTACCAGGTCTTCGATCTCCTTGTTCTTTTGGTTGTTTCTGCTTTCCGTTTCCCCTGTTCGTCGTGGGTAGTTCGTCGTGGAGTAGTAGTTTTCGAGCTCATAAAAACCCCTCTTTCTGTACTAGGTAATTTGGAAGTATTTGGCATATGTGTCTGTTTAGGGCGCATCTATGGCACGTCTACTCGTAAGTGACATCATGTACAGAATTGTGGGCTCGTTTCGTTTTCTTTCTCTCAGTCCTTTGTTATTGTTTGGGAGCACCTATAGCTCAGCGGGAAAAAAAGTTGGCTGACGCAAACTGTTATTGTTTTGGCTTCTATAGTGATTAGGCAGACTGGTTGTGTTTTGGTTATCCAGTTGCTGCCGTGTAGTGAGAAGCGAAAATCAAAATCTTGCGTTCTGCCGCAACAGAGTAAAAGAAAAAAAATATGTATATCAGGGCGGCTTGTTCCCAGCAGGGTTCCGTCAATGCATTGAGCATTGTTTACTGTTTTTTTTAACATCAGACACAAGCGTTCATATATATGAGTATACACTCGCCCTATGAACGCACACATGCACACCTTATCCCTATGAGCACCTTCGAGTGACTAATC